GCCACGTAGCGAAAAGAAGAAACGACTGGCGCGCTGTTGTTAACTCGGCTATAATCGCGTAAGCGGTGTCTACGCCAATCAAGAAGAAGAAGAAATGTATTCAAGAATACTCAGTTTYAATTTGATGTCGATCTGTCAAGAATTTCTCGTTATTTTATGTTATGTTGTCAGCAATGTTGTAAATTATCGTTTCGGGAAAAACGCGTTTAAAGTTTCAACTATCCTATTTATACCTACGAGCGATCGCTCTTTAAAATGCTGCCATGAAAAAAACTATTTAAGATACGACCTTACCGATTTCACAGGAAATTTTCGAAAATATGAACTATCGAAGCAGAAAAAAAATCAAGTTTTTGAAAGTGTCACACTGGTATACCATAGCCCCTTAACCAATTTTCGTCTTTTTTGTTAGACTCCTATCTAACATGTTTCACAGAGTATATCGGAATTGTTTGTAACACCTAGCGTCGAGATAGATATAAAGTTATATATGTATGTACCTTTATTAAAATATCGCGATATGTATAATTTTAGATGACTCTTTGTCCATCTGTCTGTTCACGGCCATAAATTTTTAGAAAGTTTATGTGGTCCCGCCCATAATAAGTTCCACTTCAGCAGGCAGATAGTAACATAGAAGGTGGTGAAGGGAATCCCTGGATCACCTTCTATAAGTGAAAGTGCCGGATGGCATCATGAATTTCACAAGTTTGTTAGATGTTTTGATGATCGATCATCAGTATAAAAGTGATAAGATGCCTTCCATTCTATTATTTATTAACTTATTGACAAATTATGCTGATATATAATTTGATTTTAATGAAATGGGTCATAGAAAGCAATCCACACCTGAGCAACATGAATTTATAGATAATTTCAGTAGAAAAGCACGTAGAAAGTTGTTAAATAGGCTTAAAAGCCGAAACAATATGGACGTATATATCCATATGTGTGCAGATGTGTATGTAAATATCAACCCTACAAGAAACTTCTGCTGGGTTCACGAATACACTCGCATTTGTTGTGGGGCGTGACGTGCAATTTACTTATCCATTGACCGTCACTGGGACTGTTAAAAAGATATACCTACGTCTTTTAATGCTTACATATGTAAGAATGAAATATGTAAATTTTTTATAACTGGTGATCGATTGACCAATAAAATTATTGTCAATGTTTATGGTTTTTTTTGTTTCAAATGTAAATTTGCAGCACTAATTAACATAGGAGTTTCGAAAAGTGGTGAAGTCTAAAAGCTTCTCATAATTTATACTTTAATTATATTTTTTGATCCACATCTTTATATTATTATTTATGTACATTATTACAATTTATTTGAATTAAATGCTTTAAATTTGTTAAAGAAATAAAAATTATATTATCTACTTCACAAAATAATTGTTTACTTATGATATATTTACAGTCAAAATAGTCAAATTTCAGCTTTGATGAATTTATTTTTGTTTACATTAGTTTTGACACGCTGCTCTTATAAAATAAGCTTTGACTGTCAAAAGGTCGGTAAAATGGTTATCATTTTTCTTGCAGGGAAGCTACTACCACTTACGAATCATTGGCGCTATAGTTCGCCGATTGACAAGTGATGTGCTGAAGACATTGAGCCCGACAAATTGCAARGGACATCTGTCAAATATTCAAATACACACGTTCTTATGGACGGACCTATTTTGACAGCTGCACGACTACACGACTGCAGGCCGACAGTTGTCGTTCTCGCTAACTTCAATTTAATCCTATATTTGCCTACGACAGTGAAGTTGACAGTAGAATGGAAGATATGATACAAAATGTAAAATTACTCAAAGCTCTAACAAACCGGACTTTATTTTACAAATAAAAGCATAAAATAGCTCTGTTACATCATTTGTAATAACAACAGATAATTTGAAACGAATAAATTTACCTATTTACTTATAGTTTGCTTAAATATTTCACTTYGAACAAAATATTAAAATTTCATTGAAGTGCAAGGTATTAGTATGGCCACAACGAAATTGTGGACATGCAAAATGGACAACTCGTTGTTTAGTGTACATGCCGGTCATTGTTATGTTGCTGCCCTCTCACAAACGTTCATGTAGTAGAATTCACAACGCCATTTTCAGTTCACTGTCGTGCTGCTGCAGTCTGTCGCGAGCATTGTGTTCCGCACATGAATAAGAACACACTGCGAAAATAATATTAAAAAAAGTAGATGGATGTTTTTAATTTCAACATTTGATTTGTTAATGTTATTTGTTTAAAGTTATGAATCGAGAATAATTTATGAGAATTAAAAGGCAATAAAATTTTGATCATTATTTTAAACAATTAATAATTTTAAATATATATACTAAGTTTATAGATACTTTTGTATGCTTAGCATATTTTTATATACATATGTATATAGTATGTACATATGGATGTAATTTTAACCCAAACACAAATAATCAAGTGGCTGTGTCGAAAACAACAGTAGTATTGACCTCGTTTTGCTCAAATTTACTACGTGCCTTGCTGCGACAGCAACGGCGTATGAGTAATATTTAAGTCATGCCACATTATTAGAATATGACATACATATACTTATGTACATACACACATACAAATATGGTATATAAAGAGTCAACCATTCCATWCCAAGTATAGTGGCACTTAATAAAGACTACTTGTCTTTATAAGTATATTTATACATATGTATATGTATGTATGTATATGTACATATATACATACATATATAGACATACTAGTATATATTTTATGTGCAGAGGCTTTACATTTGTATATGCATATGGTTATTCAATGCAATTTACATAAAAAAATGTTTGGTTGATTAAATTTTTAAAACCAACAGGTTGCTAAATACATAAATAGTATTATAGACTAGTACGATAAAAATAAAACATATACTATTGCTTAGCATAAAATAAAAAAAAAAACGGAAATTTTTATTCAGGTAAAAAGAAGTTTACTAAATAGTTAATTAATGTTCAATAGTAAATGAGTTTTATAAAGAAATTCAAAATTCCTCATGAATCAACTAATTGCTGCTCTCCATTTACCACTAAG